ATATATATGTAAGGTTAAGTGTATAATGAGGCCCCGTAAATTCAAATTATATTCACGTCCAGCTGGATAGCCAACTTCGAGGATGGATTCAGACAGCGGCTGGTAGTATTTTGTGTGTGTTTAGGCTTTAACTTTTGGAAAGTTGTTTGTCTTCCTAAGCATTTGATTCTTTGTCTATCCAGGATGCCGATTTGTGGCTCAGCAGAGGAGACGGAGACGAGGCTTCTAACAGGCTCCGTGCTATGTTTAATCCCCCTGGGCCTTCCTTTCTCCCACCCTCCCCCTGTGAATGCTAAGAGGGGATGGGGGAGGTAATGCACCTTAACGTCCCCTTGATCTAGGCCAATCTTGCTGTACATTTGGAGGATTAGAATAAGCAGATGGAAATGTGAGAGGCATGGTGTCTGACCTTGAGATGACAAAATTAGAAAGGTCTTGTCTTATGTCCCCTCGCCCCCCAATAACATATACTTGAAATGTAGCTTGCAGTGATTAGTTCCATCTTCTCTTTCTCAGCAAGCCAATATCAGCTTGTAGGAATAGGAGAAAGCTTGTGGGGGTTTTGATTCAAGTGGACAATTCACTTGTTCTAAGTCAAAACTCTGGATGTGTTACACAGACGCCCCGTGTCCCTCTGGAGTATCATTTGCTGTATCCACATAGGACATCGGTTTCTGAAGAATAGAGCTCATATTTAATGGGGTCAAGAAACGAAACAGGAGCCCTTGGAGTTCTTTCTCTGCTGTTTCCCCATCACATGAGGCTTAGAACCCACCCAGGCCTCCCAGTCTGCAGCCAGATGCCTGGTCCTGGGAACACCCCTGCCTCTAGGAGTGAGGAGTGAGAAAGGACTGGCCTTTCTTTCACAGATAAGCCAAGAGGAGCAGACGACAGGTCTGAAGCTGACCACTTTCCATCTACCCAACACACTTAGAGCAAGTGTCTGATTGGGGAGAAGAGATACTGCAGGTTTTAGGAAAAGGACTTAAAAAGAAAAAAAAAGCTGGAACCCATCCATAAATGGTCCGAGGAAGGATGACGAATGTGACTTTTATGATGCTTCTTCCTTTCTACTGCCTGTGTCCTGGAGAGGCTGGGAAGGCCGGTCCATCTCTAAGCAGGTCCTATGAAGCGACCAGCGCTGTGGGACCACAGTGAAAGCCTGGGGGCTCCGTTCTGGGCAGCCTCGCAGGAGGACAGCTGTCTGTGCTTTTATACTCTGGGTAGAGAAGGAGTCCTCTTGGGTCCCCAGTGTAGTTGGACCGAGTCTGGCACACCGTGCTCTCTGCTACCCATCCGGGCTCGGGCACCCACTCCCACACAGGCCCTTCAAGGGTGCGGTGTGGCCAGGCTTCCTCAGCCACGGTTGTCCTTGGCGTTCAGCCGCCCGGACACTTCCTGGGACCACCCACAACTCCCCTTCATCGTAGCTCAGAGTTTGTTTTTTCTAGTTGGATTAGTCTAAGAGTAAATGCCATAGGCCTTCTGGCCCTCCGAACAAAACAAAACAAAAGAAAACAAAAAATAAAACACCATTTCTGTGTAGAGTGAAAATTAGACTCTTAAATCTGCAAAGAAAGCTGTTTATCTTACAAATTTATTCTTTTTATTGGGCCACACATGTCCAAGATAGAAAGATAAAAGGAAAACAGATACAGGCCATCACTTAGACTGACATAGAGTGAGGCCCTTCTCATCCTCAGCTTCCATAGAACCTTCCAGACTGGAACGTGGGCCTTCTCTATGTATTGGTCTATCATGTGCCCTGGACAAGGACTCACTGAAAACCATAGTAGAAGTTTGTCCTCCATGCTCTCTCCCTCCCACCTTTCCACTGCTCACAAATGGGCTTTGTTGGAGGAAGGCTCTGGGGAAGGGGCTCACGGGCAGATGGTGCAACATGGGGCTTTGCAGGAATTAAATGTCAACAGTCCACGCCTGCCTACCACCTCTGTCCTGAAGCCAACATCCGGGGCACTTAGTTCTGCTTATAATTCAAACTGACAGCTGTTGGCCTCCTCCCTTAAATAGGGTATCTTAACTCTGTTGCAGGGAGCACTTGGTGGAATTTTAATTAGGCTCTTCGTGATTTTTTTTTAACATCTTAATTTTGTTTTATTTGTTTCATGTTCCAAGATTCATTGTTTATGCACCACACCCAGTGCTCCATGCAATACGTGCCTTCCTTAATACCCACCACCAGGCTCACGCAACCCCCCATCTCCTTCCCCTCCCAAACCCTCAGTTTGTTTCTCAGAGTCCACAGTCTTTCAGGCTTTGTCTCTCCCTCCGATTGACCCCAATTCAGTTTGCCTTTCCTTCTTCTAATGTCCTCCATGTTATTCCTTATGCCCCACCAGTAAGTGAAACCATAGGATAATTGACTTTCTCTGCTTGACTTATTTCACTCAGCATAATCTCCTCCAGTCCTGTTCATGTTGATACAAAAGTTGGGTATTCATCCTTTCTGATGGCCGAATAATATTCCATTGTATATATGGTCCACATCTTCTTTATCCATTCTTATGTTGAAGAGCATCTCCACTCTTTCCACAGTTGGCTATTGTGGACATTGATGCTATGAATATTGGGGTACAGGTGGCCCTTCTTTTCACTACATCTGTATCCTTGGGCTAAATACCCAGTGGTACAATTGCAGGGTCATAGGTAGCTCTATTTTTAATTTCTTAAGGAATCTCCACACTGTTTTCCAAACTGGCTGCACCAACTTGCATTCCCACCAACAGTATAGGAGGGTCCCCTTTCTCCACATCTTCTCCAACACTTGTTGTTTGCTGTCTTATTAATTTTTACCATTCTAGCTGGTGTAAGGTGGTATCTCAATGTGGTTTTGATTTGAATTTCCCTGATAGCTAGTTTTTCATGTGTCTGTTAGCCATTTGTATGTCTTCGTTGGAGAAGACATACTATCCATTTTTTGACATGACTATCTGTTTTTTGGGTGTTGAATTTGAGGAATTCTCTATAGATCTTGGATATCAGCCCTTTGTTTGTGGTGTCATTTACAAATATCTTCTCCCATTCCAAGGGCTGCCTCTTTGTTTTGTTGGCTCTTTGTGATTTTAAGTTGACCTCACAATCCCACAAAAGGAAAGCTGAAGAATGCTGGGGGGACAAATGCAACACATTTGGGATTGGTGTGGCTGGGAGTGGGGGGGGGAGTGGGAAACAGCATTTCAACTATTTCAACCCAAGTTGTGGTTGACTTGAAGTTGACATCTGGCCATTGTTTCCCTGGGCAGCAGCCCCTTGTGGACCTAACCAATGGGCTGTGGAGCACCCCACTATGACTGTAGGGGGACCCTGGTTTGCCATGAAGTGGCAAAATAGATCATTTTGTGCCCCCTTCCCCGATTCAATACCCCCTTAACACATTCATGTGGTTGACCAGAAAGCTGGTGCTAGGTGGGTTGGGTTCTAGATGCCTGTAGACCCAGTCCTTTTATCTGTGCAAAATTATGAGGGCAAAGACTGCTGGGCAGACAGACCCTTTGAACAGCTCTTCCAAGGTTGGTTGGAGGAGTTGGAGAGTATGGGATCAAAAGTGAGCCTTCAAAGAACTTTTCCAGGGTGATGCTATCGCTGTGCATTAACCCAAATGCAGAGAGGACGCTTGAGGCCAAGGGTTTCCACGGTTGCTTGGAGCCAACATCCAAATAAGAATTAAATGTGATTGCCTTCATCTTGTGCACGGCCTATAAGTCTGTCCCTTTTGGCTGTTAGCGGAGAACACCAGGAACGGATGTTGTAGAATAAAAGCAATTTGCATTTTCCATTGCTTGGAAGGTACAAATCTTATTTATTCTGCTTCTCTGCAGAACTCATAGGTCTGCTTATTATCTGAGAAGGTCCCCTTGTTCTCCTTAGCAGATCCACCATGGGGCCCAGAGGGTGGGCTGGGAGTGGCATCAGGACCCCGCCAGCCCCAGGAGCTTGGGTTCTGTGCTAGGGGTGAGCCTCCAGCTCTGCAGGGAGGCCCAAGGAGAGGGCTCCAGTGCCTCCCCTCCCAAGAGCTGCAGATTCCCGGCTCCTACCCTGCTCCCTGAATGTCGGCTCTCTGGCAGTGCGATGTCGGGCCTCGGGTATTGCAATAACATATCCTCCAACCACTAGATATTTTCACGGTTTTATTTACTATTATGTCCCATCATTTCTGTGCAGAAGGCAGCCGTATGTAAATTTTATTCCATTTTCTAATGGTTTGGGTTACATAACAAATAACAGCAGGAAGGAAAATTTGTATTGATACTTTACAGAGGAAGTTCTCAAGTCACTGCACAAAGATTTAACTGCTTGGCTCGAAGTTTATGGGAGTTTTGCAGCTGAGTTTCTGCACATGACTTTGAATATGTCACTATATGTTTATCATGGGCTAATTGTGGAATCGCATTTCCATACTTTTTCTTCTCCCTTTCATAAGATTACAGCAGCCAGCGATGGATACCAAGCTCTACAAGGAAGAAATGATCAGTTGTGGATAATTGTCTTTCCTGTCCCAAAATAACTGTATGTCTGCATGTCTTCGGGACTCGGCCGAGACACATTTTTTTCCCCATTTGTTGCTAGATATAATGCAAATGTGATTTCGATCTTATAGCGAGCTCTCACCAGCTAGTCCATATTACAAATTAATCAGATTCAACAAACACCAACATTTTTAAACTTTTGGAAAAAAAATATTTAATAGAAGCTAAGCAAAAGAAGAAATCAAACCAGCTGCTGACACAGCTGTTTCTTTTCTTGTTTAATTCAGTTCAATATAAAGGTACCATATGCTGCTTAAAATGATGATGGGAAAGATGAAATAATTTAAGAGAATAACAAGAAAATACATGAATTATCAGCATTCTGTCAGATTTAAAGAATGAAATAGACAGGTGTAGTATTGACATGTTTAACTTTGTGTGGTGTTAGCAGTTTTGGTGCGAACAGCTTCTGACGTGCTGAAGTGATGTGAGAACATTTCTTCTCCGCTGCAGACATCGGCGAGGAGGCTGGGAGAGCCACTGGGGTCCAGCAGCCCTCGCTGCTTCGCGACAGGAGCCTGGGCTCGGCCATGAAGGACTGCCCGTACTGTGGGAAGACCTTCCGGACATCCCATCACCTAAAGGTGCACCTGCGGATACACACAGGTGAGAGGCGCAGGCGCGTCGCTGTGCGCAGCGTCCAGCAGGGGCCAAGCTCCCGGGCCCGGGTCACCCCCTGCGTTGCCACCAGCACCGCCGCGCTCTCCGTGGGCCAGGCCGGACCCCGCTGCGGTGGGGGGACCCCGCGGGCTCCTTCCGCCCCGGTTCATGGCTGCTCAGCCAGCCTCCCTCCTGAGCCACATTGGGTGGGTAGACACAGACCCCCCCCCCGTGGCCCGGGTGTAGGAGGAGGATGCTTGGCCATGGTCGCAGGGTCGGTTTGGTGATGTGTGTAATGGAGCAGGACCCCTCGTGCCCTGGCACTGACCAGGGGCCCTGCAGGTGCAAAGCTGGAGAGCTGGGCTCAGACTCTGAGTATGAAAGGGAACAGGGGAGCTCCCTTCCTAGGTTCCCAGCTGGGGTTCCGGGCCCACACCAGAGGCCGGGCTGGTGGCAGCAACCCACTGCCCGGGATGGAGGACTGGCTCTGCGCTGAGTCCCCTCAAAAGAAAGGTGGAGGTGCTCTTAATCAAACAGGTGAAGGGGCTGCTGGACCATGTGGTCATTTCTCCTGTTTCCGCGTCCTCCTAGCAGTTTGAAATGAGGACATTTTGGAGGTCTGTGTGCCTTGTCCCTTGGTCATTTTTCTTTTCTTTCTGTTTTTCTTTTTCTTTCTTTCGTTCTTTCTTTCTTCTTCTTCTTTTTTTTTTTTTTTGTAGCTTTTCTGCTAGTTGTTTGCACATTGCCAATACAAAAAAAAAAAAATCTATCTGAGATATGGACACCTCCATTTTCTTTGATTTTTCTCCTGACACTTTATCTATTGGAGTATGAGCTGCTTCAGAGGATAGACAAATATGCCATCTATTTTCAAAAATAATTGTGGTCTATTTCCCCAGGAATCAATAAAGCTCAGGGTTGTGCAGGATATTTAGTGCATGTGGGCCTCATGTGCAGCGTGTGGTTAAAGAGAAGGAGGACCTCACCTGGAACCTCACCTGGTGCCCGCAAATCTCCCTGACACTGAGAGGGGAGCCCTAAGAATGGGGGGCAGTGGGCCGTGGGCTGCCATCTTTATTCATGGCCGAGGCACAGTTAAGCCTCACCATCGTCCATCCCTCCCAGCCGGCAGAGCCCTTCTCTCCTAGAGTCATCCACAGCAGAGAGGGAGCCGCTAAGACGAGGCACCTCTTCGCTCCCTCCCCCAGGCCTTGTGGGATCTGACCCATCTGGCGCCATTCTTCATCCTCATCTCTCTCCAACCCCATGGCCTTCTTTGGGCTCCTCCAGTGCAGAGAGCCAATTCCTACCACAGTGCCTTTGTACCCACCGTGCTGTCCCCCTGGAATGCTCTTCCTCTAGGTGGTCACTGGGAGCTTAGTTCGCATGGGAGTGCTTCAGAGAGACCATGTCTGATTACCCCGTCCAAAATATCCCTCGGGCCCCTGGTTCAATTTTCTTCCTAAACTTAGCACTTCCTGAAATTATCTTGTTCAGTTCAGTGGTTCATTTCCTTAGGCGCTGTTTGTCTCCCACCAAGTCAAATGTGAGGGTTGCAATATTGTCCATGTTTTTAATCGCTGTACTTTCTAGAACCCTAGGGCCTACCATAGCCCCTAACACATAGTAGGGACACAAAAAATTTATTTGAAAGCTTGAATGTCAGAACAAACTTGAGAATAAGTGAGTGACCTTCTTCCTGTAGTCTCTGGACTGTGCTGGGTGGCATGGAGGGGACAAGGGCAGTGAGGAACATGGACCCTTCCCCGGGGAACCTGCGGTCCTTTTGGAAAGGCAACCTGTACACATGAGCCCATTGGAAGCCATGATATGACGACGGTTTCAGATGGGAGACTCTCTCCCCCAGAGCTCAGTGAGGGGTTCCTGAGTGTCTGCCTCAGGGCCTTTGCACTTCTCTGCCAGACAGGTGCATTGGCTTGTTCCTTCATTTTCAGAGTTTGGCAGAGTCCCCTTTTCAGTGAGGTCTTCCAGTGATCAGGCTCAGGATGAGGCAGCTCAGATATCTGGCCTTCTGAGATCATACCGATGTCCACTTTCTTCCCCAGGTTGGGTTGTGATGGTAGTTGGGGAAGTAGGGGGCACAGATGCCAGGAAGTGGGAGGCAATCCATTTCCTGGGGCACCCATTGTTGGGCTGTCTGCAGGAGTGTGGACACCTGGCCAGGTGTATCCTGTGTACTGTCCTTTTATTAGCTGTAGACCCAGGCCCCTGGGTCAAGCTTACCATGCGGCTGGTGGCTCACCACAGCAGAGTCTGCCCTCCTAGGCAGTGTGGGTTAGGAAAGAAAAGGCAGTGCCTCCCAACCAGGAGTTTTGCTGACCTCACGGGGCCTAACTCTCATCAGCTGGCCCATCGGCAATGGTAGACACTCTGCAGAATATTTCCAGTAAAGCTGGACCAAACCTGGCGGGAGTCCCACTGAACACGGGTAGATGCAAACGGATACCGCTTTTTGAAGTTTTAAAGCCTGATAAAGGTTATTTCCCCCCCAAATTTCCACTTCCTCTGCTTCACAAACTTCTGAGGTGTGTGACCATAGTCTTTGGAGACGCTGAGAGAAGCAAGACAGGGCTGTGGACAGAGGCATTCTGGAAACTTCCCGGAATAAGGGAGAAAATGACAGAAGCCATGGAAACATCACACCGCCAGCCCCCTCAGAAACAGCATTTGCTGTGTTTAAAAGGCAGAATGGTAACCAGATAAAGATCAATTTCCTTTTTATCAAAGAACAAAGAAGTTGGAAAATGCTTATACTCGTGCATTTGAATAGAGCAGAAAGTGTTACATGTTCTAAATCACCAAAATAAACATCCATTACGACAGTGTTGAAGTGTAGATTACACGAGCAATTAAAAATCAAAATCAAGCTATTTGTTAACGAACCAGGGGACCCTGGGCTCCGGTTGTGGGGGCGTCCTATGCCGCCTCGCCCCTTTCTCTTCGTGTTCTTGGATTCTGAAGCGACATGGCCAGCGGGCAGCCGCCTGTGAAACCGAATCCGTGTTTTCCAAAATACCATCTTCTGAAGTTTTTCCATAATGGACCCATACGAGCACATTTAAAAATCCAGTGTGTAATAAATATGTTTTAATTGGTTGGGAGATGAGGTGGTACATTCACTGTGTTTTCCTGTTCTGCTCCATCTTTATGAGCCGTCTCGATCATATAACAGCCACAGGTAAAAACCGCTTTCCTTTTTTAACTCCACTACACATTCACTCAATTACTGCCCTCCTCCTCCCGACACCTGTGTATTAGGGAGGTGCTGAGTAGATGCCCCATCAGGTTGCCTTGAACACCTAGGGGCTCGGGAGAGCCTGCGGGAGCTAGACCGTCTCTGCCGGCCCCTGAGCCACAGCCAGATCCATGTGGGCTGGACGGAGGCACACGGAGGACTCCGGGGCCTCACATCCCAGAGGCCACCCCACCCTGACTCTGGCTGGACAGATGCTGATTCCTGCCCACCCAGGGGAGGCTGAGCTGCTTTCCCATTTCTCACAGTCTCTGGGGCTAATTAAGATCCGATCACTGGATGTGTGTTATTGGTCTTCTGGTGTCCACGCCGGTGATTTGAATTCAGAGCCCGTCAGCGCAGGCTCAGAAAGGAAATGGTGTCAGGGCTCTCTAGAGAAATGGTATATATAATGTACAATATGTCCTATGTATATGTAATATATATTATAGATAATCAAATAATAGGTTATATATATGTATATATAAATATTTGGTTTTTTATATTTTTTAAAATAGTGTATACATATACACACACACATATATATATGTATGTATGTAAAGGGATTTATTGTAAAGCATTGGCTCAGTCAGTTATGGAAGCTGAGACATCCTAGGATTGGCATTCGGCAAGGCAAGCTGGCAGACCCAAGGGAGCCAGTGGGGAAAGTCCCAGTCCAAGGCCAAGTCCACAGGCAGGTGAAGGTGGCAGCCCCAGCTGGAAGACAGGCCGAGAGAGTGAATTCTCCCTTACTCAGCCTTCTGTTCTGTTGGGGCCTCCAATGGACTGGATGAGCTCCCCCCTGCCCCGCCCCATATACATACACGCTGGGGAGGGCAATCTGCTTTACTATCTGAATGGGCAGTCAGCCCATTCAGATAGCTCATCTCATTTGGAAACATCCTCCCAAACACACCCAGAGTAACGTGTGAACAAATGTCTGGGTGCACATGACCAGTAGACACAAAAAATCAACCATCATAGGTGTACAGCAGCAAGCATTTAATCCTAATGAGCTACAGGAGGCAGGGATGTCTCCTAGGTGGCCCCCGACCGAGGCTGGACAGTCGTTTCATAATAGGCTGCCTGAAAATGTACTTCCTTCTTTCCCTCCCTGCCCCCTCCTCCAGCTCCATCTCAGGGAGACCCCCAGAGCCCCGTGTGTCCAGTTTGCGTACAGGAGGTAGGCATGTGCTGATCAGTCGGTCTCTGAAAGGCTGGAGGGGGGTGTGTCCCCCACACGAGCCCCAGACGTGTGTCACCCCACCTGCTGGCCGCGTGACCCCAGGTTGGGTCCCCTCCGACGGCTCCCCTGTGTGTTGGCTTCCCTAGGAGGCTCCCTGTCATCTCCGGAATGACCATTGTAGAGAAATGTAATAAGGAACCTCACTCATGAAAACTTGGAGGCACGAAAGTTCAGGGACTAATTAAAAATAAATCTCATTAGTTTTTTTTCCCCCTCTCAAATTATGCGAGTGGTTTATTAATCTGGTTTTGATGTGTTACATGCATTGGTCCAGCCCGGAGTTGAGAACCTCTTTATGAAAATGGATTTGCGCAGGGAAGCCAGAGGTGGTTTTCAAGGGCTCTCGGCCGTGGGCAGGGTGGGCTGGTGGGCACGCCCAGCTCTGTTCACCCCCGCCGGGAGGGTGTCTCCTTGACGCGGACACTGGATGGGGCACCCTCATTGGCTCTTGAGTGCATGCTTACTCCCAGGCAAAGACCACCCTTATGTCCTGCAGGACCCTCCAAG